AGGGAGGGAGGGAGGGGGGGAGGGCAGCCGGGGAAAGCCTGTCCACATATGTGGTTGCGGTGAAGCAAGACATCTACACCTATACATTGATGGAAAGGGAAGGAGGGGAGGGAAACCGGTACCATCTTGCACCCGGGGCTCCCCTTCGCCCGTTCGCATCCCCCTCTCCTCCCTCCCCTAGCCTTCAGGAGGGGGAGGACCTGAGGGAGGACGGGGCGGAGGACGGGGCGGAGGAAGACGACGAGTCCAACAGCATCGTGGGCGTGACCCTGACGGAGGATGGGACTGTGGTGGTTGCCGCCAAGGTAGGAGGACACGCTTCTCGAAGGAGGGAGGGAGGGAGGGAGGGAGGAAGGGCAAGAGGTAGGGGAGGGGGTCTGCTTTGCTCCTTCTTTGCTCTCTCACTGTCTCCCCTTCTTCAACCTTCCCCTGCTCGATGTCTCGTGACTGGTAGGGAGGGAACGTTACCGCCCTGCGTCATAACCCTTCCCTTGCCGCCTCTACGCCCACGGCCCAAGCCGGGGAGAGCGCTCTGCGCCCGGTGGCCTACTTCCCTCTCTCCCGCGTGGTCGCCTCCTCCGCCCCCATCCACATTTCCAACTCCTTGGCCGTGCACGGGCAGGTGAGGACTCCCTTCTTTTTCTTTGCCTCTTTTTTTCGCGCCAAAAAAGCGTGGATTGGGAAGTTCGCACCCAGCGGCTTGCTCTGAGCTGATCTGGGTACCTACGCGTTGATTGTCCTGTGACTGACGCCATGAAGGAGTCTCATTGCGGACACGCCTATATAATTCTTCTGGTCGACTTGCAATGCTTGATTGAAAGGAAGAGTATGATGGGGGTTGGACATTGGCCCACATTTTAAAGACTCGCCAGCACGGCTTCTTCCCGTTCCGATGGCCCTCCCTCCCTCCCTTCCTCCCTCTCTTCCTCCCTCCCTTGTTCCCAGGGAGTCTACATCGTCACACAGGAGGAGATGGTACGCCTGGATATGGACACATCCTCCGCGTCCTTGAAGTTCCGATGGGCCACTCCCTACGGACGAGGCGGACTCCCTGTAAGGGGGGCGAGGGACAAGGAAGGAGGGCGAGGAAAAACGACGCGGGCATGAACAAGGAGCCGGAATGAGACCGCTGCGTCTTCCTCTTCCTCATTGCGGTCTTCTTCCTCCTTCCCTCCCTCCTTCCTTCCCCCCTTCGCCTTCCCATCCCTCCCTCCCTCCTTCCCTCCCCCAGTGGTACACGTCCCGTCTGGGCCCGGGCTCGGGCTCAACGCCCTCCTTGACCTCCTGCCAAGGCCGAGATATGGTGGTGATCACCG